CTTGTAACTGATGCCTTCTAGACCTGGGGGCCAGTGAAAATACCTGTTAGTTCCCCAAATCAGCAAGTTGTTTCAAGCCTCCTCGGCTTTTTATAGACTGGTGTCCTGCCTGTGACACACTTCATCTCTTCCCCTCTACATTCTCTCTTGTCAATTCAGTGCTGTATTGTGTCCCTTTTAGGGGTCACCTTCATCAAAACGCTTTTCCGATGCTCAGCTCAGTGTGGTCCCTGCTTCTAGAGCACTTAAGGCATTTCTTTCCTGAGGTACTTACCACACGGGCTTGTCCGTCTCCTCCAGTCCTCATAAAGGAGCTCTAATTTGTCACAATATCGCCTGACCGGGACATAATATGCATTTAGTAAATATTTACTGAATTTTAAAATATGAGCAAAGTTATAAGAATGAAAATGTGCTGGGTGTGTTACGGGTGAATGATGAATACATTTTGAAGGACAGGGGAAGGTAAGTTTGGAAATGCTGAATTCTGAACTACCAGACAAATAAAAGGCATGAGCTGGGACTAGGGTTTCTGGTAGCCCCACCTCTGTCACACACCCCAATTTTGAAGCAATAGAACACAGACTGAGGTTGTTGGACAAGCGCATAAAGGCTGCAAGTGAAGGATATGGCATCACTAAGGCTTCAGAACTGGAATTAGGTAGCTGTTGAGGTTTTCTACTTAGCCTGGGTAAGAAAGATAAAATGGGTATAATCTCATACCATGAGACATCTTAAATGCCAGGTTGAAGAGTGGTTCTGAGCCGGGGGTCCCTGGGCAATCGCTGAACCATGGTGAACAGAGGGAGCCTGGCAAACAAGCCGGGCTGCGCTGCGCAACACCGCACGCAGCACAGGGAGACCGAGGTGACCGGACAGCATGAGGACATTTAAGTGACCCAAAATCATGAGACTGTTTAAGTGAATATTTTACAAAATATGTAAGTGACTACTTTACAAAATGTTTATTTTGTGAAAGGTAATAAAAGCTTAAACTAGAGGGGTGGCAGTGAAACTCTGAGGAAGAAAATGCAGCTTCCATGGGAAAAATTGGGGGTAGCCTTGAGACTTGATAAAAGAAAGCCATACATTTGCAAACAGAAGTTTTTGAAATAAAATGGTTAAATATTGATAACAAAAACAGAACATATATCATAGAGCCAGGTACTTTATTTTTTTGGGGATTAGCTCCATTGATTTGGAGTATATGTGTTATTTTTTTTTACAAAGAATAGCTATTCAAATGCTATTTTTAATAATGAGAGGCTTTTCATTTGAACGAAGACAGAATCTTATACCTCAGGTATCACAGGCACCCTGGAGGTATCATGGAAAGCCGGGCGTCGGCTCCGTGGAAGCAGCAGAGCCAGCTCCTGTGAGATCAAGATTTGCCAAGCCGACCCCATATCAGAGACCTTTAATTGTATTCCTTGACGGACACTCCTGACCCTAAAATTATTTTGCATTTTATTTAAAAAAAACATGTTCCAGACAACACTCATTTCGGAAAACAAGAAAATTACATTTAGGAGTAGATTCCAATGACGTTCTCTATCAATTATTTCCCCCTGTCCCAAATTCTTCATCTCAAAAATAAGATTTTAAAGACTCAAAACTCTTCCACATTACCAGTTTTCTAAACTCATAAAGACAGAAACATATGTGAATATTATTTTGTGTTTTGATAGTAGATTTGAAAACAAGTTAATACCATGTGACAACAGAAGTTATTATCAATTGTTTTTTATAATCCTCATTATACAGACCTCTGGGAGATCATATTAATATTGAAAAGCACACAGTGCCACACAAAATAATGCTTTTAATTATAATTAAAAGAGAAGAAAACCTCATTCCTGTGTGGAATGACTATTTATGTATTGGTCATTCTTTACTAGACACAAAATCCTTGAAGATTGGGACATGTCCTATTTTTCTATGTAACATCAAGCACAATGCAATTCTTGACACATAATAAACAATAAAAAACAAACAAAAATATGGTTGAATAAATGATATATTTTAAAAAATATAACACTTACATAGAACCTACTATGTACCAGGCACCTACCCAAAAGTGATTTACAAATATTAACTCATTTAATTCTCATTAGAAAAACCTCAACTTAGAAAAGAAATTGAGGCATGGAGAGGTTAGACTATTTGCCCCAAATCCCACAGCTTCTTAGAAAATGATGGAGCCAGGCCTAAAACCCAAGCAGAGCCATGCAGAATCTGTAGTTTTAACCAATACTGTTTTTTAATAAGAATTCTGTCTTTAAATTTAAATATATAAAATATGTATATAAATATATATTTTATTACAGTAGTAAACTTAGAACAAGAAGGTCTACGTTCGAACACATGTTAAATTTATTCGGTTTATGGTTTTGAGCAAGTTCATTAACCTAATGGGTCCTTAATTTCCTCATACATAAATCAGAATAATAGCTGGTACCTCACAAAGCTATTGTAAGCTTTACATAAATAATTTATGTGAAAATTCTAGAACATAGTCAGCACCCGGAATCTGTTGGTGTGCCAAGGAGAATGGTACTGTTTTTCTCCTTCTCCCCTTTCAAAATGGTACATATTTACACATTATACACCATGCAGGTCTTAGCAAAATAAGGTCAAGTTCTGTGTTTCATAAAGCTTTATTTCCAACATCTCCTAAAGGTAGACTTAATTTACTAAAACATTTTCTAGACAGTCAAATAAGCTTCAAACTCAGTAGACTGTTTTTTGGAGAAAAAAGAACTTCCCCAGAAGCTGTTATGATTTAAACATCGACAGAAAACAACAACAATAAACCCCCCCCCAAAAAAAAAACCCAACAAAACTCTTTCTTCTAATTGGGAAATCAAATTATACACTTTATTAAAGAAAAAAGATTAGACCAAAATAAAACATATAGCATTTTTGTTTTTTTTTTTTTAGTAAGACCCTCTGACATTAAGAGGCTTTATCAAAACCGATGGGAACCATCTCGGCCATTGATTTCTAATTATTGCTCTGCATTACCATCATATATACATATATTTTAAATCAAAATTCAGACCCCTTCCTCAGGTATTCTGATTTCATTGGTTTTGGGTAGGGTCTGGACATCTTTTTTTTTTTTTTTTTTTTTTTTTTTTTTTGTGAAAGTTCTTCCACTGAGTCTCGTTTGTAGCCCAAGTGGAGAACACTGGATTAGGCTATCAGTGAAAATATCACCTGTCTCCTAATTCCATTTTGTTTTTACTCTAATAAAAACCAACAACAGATAATATCTTTATTCAGCTCAACATTGAAAGAGTCTGAGGAGGTCACCAAGAACAGAATTGCCACAGCACTCCTAGGCTGAGATTTAGCTCTCTTTTGTTACCTGATTGAAGCAAATTCATTCTCTATTCATCATCATTCATTATCCGGAATTCCAAAAACACAAAAAAGTGGGAAACAGAATTTGAATTTGTATCAGCTAATTTTCTTTAGTTCCAAGCATCATAAAACAATACAACTTTAAGGTTCTTTATGTGTTCCTGGGCATAAGTTACAATAAGGATTTCGTATTTACTGTGCTTAGTATGCTTGTGTGGTCAATAAATAATCTTAGAGCACTTCACAATATGACTGAATATTATTTTTGTAGCTAGAGTTCCTAAAATTAACTGTGGATTAGAGGCATAAAACCCGAACAAACCCCGGCTGAGGGATACATTTTGAGCTAGTTAAAATATTGAGTAGAAATGAGTGCCCCCCCACCGCCCCGAAGAACACCACCTTAAACTGCGAAGATGCCTTGCAAATCTAATCACCTTGGTTCCTCTCATAATGCTAGTGAAGAAAACTGGAAATTTTGAATTATTTAAGCTGAGTTCTTTAACCGAACTCATAGTAGGCTAGCAACATGCTATTACAAATTACACTTTAGAAATTCCACAACACCGAATGCATTAATTCCTACTCTGTCTTTAATGGTAAGCCAAAGTGGTCCAATGGTATAAAGCATTTGCCTTTTCTTATCATTTAAGACACACTCAAACTTGGACACTCTGGTATTTAAAGATTAGTGTCAGGAACTCCATGGTCACACTTTGGTGTATTTTAAACATTTCACTTTCAATCACCCAATATTTCAAACAATAGCCATGAATAGGTGACTTGGTTCAGGTTAACTACAACCACGATATCGTGAGGGTCTCCAGAAGGTCTGGCAGTGGGGCCCTAGCCTTCCAGTCCTGTATGGGTCATACAATATTAGGTTCCAGCTTTCAGACAGAAGTTGATTTGCAAAATAAAGCCTGAATAATGGGTTAAAAAATATGAATGGATTGTTGATTTTTGACTTTGGTCGGATTTTCTTGGATGTCAAGAAAAATGTATATTTAGGGAAAAAGAATTAATTTATTAGAACTGTTCTCGATGCCTTTCATCCAGGCTTGGAAAGAGCATCATGCAAAAAGAGTACCCATTTGGAAACTACGCACACAACATATTTTTCCTAATAGGTGTGAAGAATGGCTGCTATGCATAAATGATTGTTGGAAAATAATTCTCTGTAAAACATGACTTAACAAGCAACCCCATTCACCACTGTACTCATTCCCAATATCCAGAACAACCATGACACGTCACATAGATGCCGGCATTATCTGTTCGTTAGTTAATAAACACCGTTTGGAAAAAAAACCCCACCACTGACAGTCCCATAATTTCCATACGCAATGCGGTGGAGAATAAAATTTTGACTGAAAAAATGATATTAACAACATAATAAAACTCACAAAAAATCAGAGGACTTTTCAATAGGAAACGATAAGTTGTAGCATCTTCCCAGGACTATGTGTTTTTTCATCAAGGGTAAAGTGAAGCGCCTGAGACTAAGCTAACCCTGCATCAGAACTTCAAACACCACAATCAAACAGCAGTAGGAAAAAACAAGGCACCTCAGGCACCATCACTGTTAACCATCCCAGGGAACGTCCCAAAGCTCATTCCCAGACCCTCCTTACCTCGCATACTTTCACTGGGCGGCTGGGCACAGCTCAGGAGAAGCGAAGGGAACTCTCAGGTGGTGACTCCAGCCTCAGGAACTCAAGCCACAGCGTTCATCTGCAGGGCAGGAGACGTTAGGTGCAGGGTGAGGTGCAGACAGTGCGCACCTCTCCAACCCGGGCAGGTCGGTCAGCCGCGCGATGCAGCCCACCCAGGGTCTGGGGGGCTGCCTGTCTTAGTTTGACAAGAGAGCAAACTGCGTTAAGTCCTGAGCCATCTCTCTCCTTTCCCCCCTTCCCGATTTCCTGACACTTTAATTCTGCCTTAAGTGATGCTTTCAACCTAGTCCCAGCTTGTATTACAGGCTAAAAGGCAACTGCTTTCCCCCCAAGCTTTATTTCCACCTCCCCAAAGTCTAGGTGGCTCACCTTCCAGGCACCTTCCTTCCCTCGCTCAGCTGTGAGCAGTGCGCAAACTTCTCCTGACTTCAGACTCTTATACTCGTCCTCACTCCCGCCCCACTCCTCCCGCCTCCCGCCTCCCTCACGTCCCCCTCCTAGCTGCAGAGGAGGTGGCTGCGGAATTGATGAGCGCCAACCCCCCCCTCCCCGCCCCTCCGCCCCCGCCAGCCCCTTCCTGTCCCCGGAGAGGGAGTGGCGAGCAGGAGAGCTCCGAGCGCCTCCGCGCCAGCCCCTCTCTCCCCGGCCCGCGCTGCCTTGTTCTAGTCCCGGCTGGGACTCACTCTATGAGTCCCAGAAACCAAAACGCGGCGTAAACATGGAAAGCAGTAGAGGGACCCGAGTTAAACCTGGGGAAGGGAGGGATGGGTGGGGGGCGGGGGCGGGGCATGGTCCGGTCTAGGAGATTTGTACCGTCCCCGGAGACAGCTTACTGGGAGCCCCGACCCCTCCCTGGAGGATGCAAATTCCGGAGGGAGGTGAGTTCCCAAAACAACCCACGCAGGAAACCTTGCCACCCTGGCTCCTTCAGCCACTGCTAGGAGGACAGCACCACCTGGGAGCCCCTGGAGAGGGTCTGCAGTGGGCGAGGCAATGAAAGTGGGATGGGGATGAGTGGGAAAGCTGTTGGCTAGGAGCTGGGTGCTGAGAGGAGGCAAGAAGAGGAGCCGGAAGGCAGGAGGTAGGAAGAGGGACCGTTCTGGGAGAGTACGGAGTTGGGCAAGCTGCCCAGAGCTGGGGGCGCTGGCTGGATTTGGGGGAACAGCACCCTCCTCATAGGAGTCTGAGGGCGGGCACCGTAGCCTAGGGTGAGTGAGCGCAGTGGGGCTGGCGTGGGAAGACGAGGGTCTGGAGTGCCAAGACTTGGTGTTGGAGGCTGCCGACACCTCCCGTGTCCCTCCTAAAGCCTTTGATGCCAGGTGGATCCCGGGACAGACCGAGTCCAGACGAGGTGCAACCTGGGCGGTAGCATCTTGGGAGGCGGGCAAGTTGGTTCCAAGGACGCACAGCCCTTAACATTCTTTAGCCTACCGCTAGGGCAAGGCGGTAGTGGACACTTTTTTAAAAAAAACTCTGCACAAGGGGCTTGGGGTCAAGAATGAAGCATCCCGCGCATCCGGGGACTGCAATGTGGCCGTGCACCCTCCAGGTTACCAAAATTGTGTGCTCAACGAAAGAAATAATAGCAATCTAATAGGGCGAGCAAAAAGGCAGACAGCAGCACAGCACACTTCCTAGGCTGTCCGAGTTTTTCCTAGACAGCAGTGCCCTGTGAGTGGGACCGCAACCTGCACCCATTCTGCCCCTGATTCCTCCCTGGAGAGAAAAGTACTACAGGCAGAAGGTGCATGTGTGTCTGCTCAAAGGGGAGCTCCCACTCCCCACCCCAGGGAGACCTCAGGGACCCCTAATTATCTGACTGGGGGCTTTTAGGGAACCCAAGAGAGGACACAGTCCAGGGGCAGAGAGGCTCCCCCACAGCCCTTCCAGGGGGTTTGTGTCTCCAGGCCCCATCTCCCCTCCATAGTCCCCTCCCTTCCTTGCCACCTGCAGTCTGGTGACTTAGAGGGCCGCTGTGTGACTCACCATGCATTCAAACCCTACAGCACCATCCCACTGCAGGGGAATGTTCTCCCTTCCCTTTATTCCTGGGATCTAGGTGGGAATGTTTTTAGCAGTAAAAAAAAAAAAAAAAAATTACGGCTAGGAAAGTAATCTGGGCAATGAGGAGAGGAACCTTGCAAAGGAACGAACACACACACACACACACACACACACACACACTCCTGTAAAGGAAACTTCTCGATTCAGGATTTAGACACGGCTATTCACTCTGTGCTTTGACAGCCGTCCTGGGTTCCACAGCTCCCTGCTTCTCAGCTCCTGCTGACCCTCTAGCACCAGACCATGCCTTCCTGTAAGGATTCTCCTTCAGAACATTAATTACCCTTTTTTTGAGACAAATGAGCAGAGAATTATTAAAGTTCTTTGAATATCTTGTATCTTGTTTGGTCCAGAGGCCAAACGTAGAGAATTTCCCTGTTGCAGCCCAGATCATGGAATTAACACTGAATCGGGAGATTTTTGCCGAGTGGAGGGTGCTGCTGTCCTCTGCACCGCATGACAGAGCATGCGGGCACAGGCAGATTTTTCTGTTGGAGGTTAGTTTTAGGGCATCCTGCATCCCTGATTGACAACCGGTAATCCGAGAACAGGATGGGTTTGGCTCCTAGAGCTACTAAAGATGTGTAGGACACAGCCTTTAACCTTCACTTAGAGAGACAAAACAAAGTCTCAGAATTAGTGAGCAAAATGGTATGGATGTATTACAGACTTTACACTCTGTGTGGTATAAGAGACCCAGACTGATTGAAGTGCTAATTGTGTTAGAGACGTTATTGGAGGAAAACCTCTGTAGGCAGAAGACCTGAGGGAAGGTGACATAGTAGAAGTGGGATCAAGGATGAGGTTCTCTGGTCTCTCAAGAGGATAAAATTAACTTTGTCAGCACAGGCATCTATTGAACACGAACGGAGGTTGCACCTGTTAGGAGCACTTGGCATTTATAGACATTTAACTCTTGCTGCCTTAACACTATCAAAATATTTTCTATGTAGAAACAGTGCTGTAGATCCCTGGAGGGTGGATATTAACCTGGGGGAGGTCTGGTAAGAAGAATTGGCAGTGCTTTTGGAAAGGCAGAGAACCCAGTCGTGGGTTCTGAAATCCACTCGGTAGATACAAGCTGCATTTAAAAAATGAAGTGGCGTAGAATAGGAAATACTAAAGTTCATTTTTTCCTTGTGACAAGTGTGAGCATGGTTTCTTGAAACCCGTCTTTTGTGTGTATGTGTGTATGTGTGTACTGAGATGCAAAGTACAGTATATTTTTTCTGTGACTCAATCAGAAGTGTTTTAAGATATTTGGTTATAATAAGCCAACCTTCGAATAGAATACCTTGTATTTGCAAATAACTCTTTAAATGAAATTAGTTCATCAATGGGGCCCTAAGAAAATAAGCCTCTTAACATGTGGCAATCACACATTTCTGATGTTTTTTGATTACTTATGACTAAAACTCTATGAGACTTTTGCCTCTTTTTATCTTTAAAAAAATTGCCTTTGCGAAGGTATTAATTTAATTTTGTTGTAGACCTTATCTTCCACGTTTGGCTACTAAAAAACAGTCTTTTGATGCAAACTCCACTCTGATCCTCAAATCCTTCATTCTCATTGCTGAGGGAGGGAAGTTGAAGTTCTGCTACTAAAAATGGGAAGGCTGGGGGGTCTCAGCCCTGCCTCTCTAGTACAAGTTTCGCTTGTCTGCAAAATCAGGGTTTGAACCGTACCACTTTAATAATGCCACTTATGATCCGAGAAACCAGTGACTTTTTGAATTGCAGTGAGCGGAAGGAAAATTACCTGTTATTTAAAATTAACTCTACCGAAACTTCTTCTTATATATGATAATGTAAGGGAAGGTTACATTATGGAGGGACTAAAAAATCATTTAGTTCTATGTGGAAAAAAATCATTGATCAGGTTAAATGAATTAGTTTGTTTTCTTTTGAAAGGAATTTTGGAGAAAAAAAATCTTTTGGCTCTCTCATGAACACAATACCTATCTTTAGTAAACTCTGCAATCGGCAAAGTTTTCCTTATGTTGAAATTCAGCTGAATCCCTCATACGTATCTGTCAGCAATTTAATGCATATTTAACATTGCCTTATATAACCATACACTGTCCTAGCCACCCAAGGGGGACCCGAATATATAATATGCAGCCCCTACCCTCAAGAAGCCCACAATCTGAGGACATTTGTTTTTTTCCTCTTGTAGCCTCCTTCCAAATAGACAACAGCTGGTGATTATCCTGTATATAATTACCCTTCACAGATTTACAGACCTCATCATGACAGAGAGAATAATAATCCACCGTGGTGAAGAATGAATATTTTCATTTGGAAACAATTTGAACTTCCACATGATAAACCAAGCTCTCTTGAGGGTAGTCTCCTGCTTCGATTTTCCACCTCTTTTTGCAGCAACAGGAGCTGATGCACTTGTAAGTCTCTCTTCTCTCATCGTCTTTCCAAGGGTGTAACACTGTTGTGTTTCTCTACAGAATGTCTCCTCGCAGGGAAAAAACAAATTCCATTTAAACTAGCAAGTGTCTTTCCAGATTGTATGACCATAAACTGCACTTGGGTTAACTGTTAACTTTATAAATAAATAACTCAAGGTAGGAGGTGGTGGCAGGGGCATATACACTGGTAAGTGGCAGTGGAAACTAATTGCTTCCTCTCTGATAAAGGTGAGAAATATCTGGATATTTCTCATGCTTCTAGAGAGAATTTTCTAGGGAAATCCAGGAGCCAGGAGAAAAACTGCAGAAGCAAATAGATGCATGCATTCATTTATTAATTCATTTAATAAACACTGACTGAGTTTTAAAAGTTTACATTCTAGTGGGAGGCTAGAAATAGATAAGAAAACAAGGAATGGGGTGTCAATTTCAGATCCTGACAATGATAGGATACCATGGACAGAGAAGGGAGAGGCAAGCACCGGCAGTGCTGCCCTCGGGGGCTGGAAGGCCCTCCAGGAGCTGAGATGCGGAAGACGAGGAGCCAGCCTTTCTGAGCTCCCCAGTAAAAAC